CCCCCCCCCCGGGGTCCCCCCCCCCCCCTATCAACAATTGAGACTCCAGAACAATATGATAGAAAAACAATCAATTGATAAATAAATAAGGAATCCTTAGCTAGCTACCTCTGAAGCTACTCTGGCAATACTAAAATGAAAGGAATCATTACTTAGCTATCTCTGGCAATACTAAAAATGAATAGAAATAAAAGGACTCATTACTTAAAATCATCAAATTCCAATGGAAATCTATAAAATTTCAATGGAAATCTGCATCCAAAGACCTTCAAATTCAGCAAATCTCAATGGAAATCTATAAAAATTCAATGGAGTTCTGCATCTAGAAAGAAAGTGCGCACTGACTTTTGGAAACTTTTGGAAAGCTTCACAACTAAAGAGCTAAGGACAGGAAAATAAGGAGTAGAGGGTGAGTAAAGCAAATCAAAAGGCAAAGAAAAGGAACCAATATTTAAGGCCTCAAATCTCTAGACATTATTCTAGGGGCCCCCCCAAAATAATGACAGAAACTTGCTTGCTGGACTACCCCCTTTGCTGGAAGGATTTTTTTGTTTTTTCAATAATGTTTAATAAGGGATTTTCAAAAGAAAGTGCGCACATACCTTTTTGGAAGTTTTGGAAATCTCCAAAAGCATCAAATCTCAATGGAAATCTCCAAATGTTTATATAATAGAAATCTCCATCCAAAAGCCTGTAAGATAAGCAAATCTCAGCAAACTCAAAAGGGAAAAAGTAAACTATAACAATAAAACATATCCCACTACAACTATCCCTCCCCCCAAAAAAAAAGACATTGTTCTGGGGGCCTTTATTAATCTGTGCAGGAAAAAAAGTGTCACTATTCTGGGGTACTTTATTAATCCAAGGACTACATTACTAGTAACAAGTGCCTTACTAGTAGTAACAAGAAGCTACTAGGAACAAGTGCCTTGATAGTGGCCTTTTCTTGAGGTCCTCAAAGGTGGCGCCGTCCCGGTCTCACGGCCGGTCTAGGGTCGAACGCCACTCACTCTGGACAAGAATCTGGTGCAAGGAAACATCTGAGTTACTCGTTTAGGGGTATGTGGACGGTAATTCTAAACTTGCCACGCTTCTGTTCGGAGCAAAACCAAACTCCGCTGGCGCCAGTCTGGCATGTGGTGGGAAGGAGCCGTTTTTCAATCCTCTCACACAGAAATCGTGTCATAATGGATTTGCTTCTTGGGGAGGTCACTCAAGAGGAAGCCAGTGGTCACTTCAGGGGTCGCTGTGCCCGACCTACAGGTTCAACCGACAGATGTGGAGGCCACTACTACGGCAATTGTTCACCGTAGTTCACTGCAGTTCAGGAAGGACGCTACTAGTAGCTCCTCGCAATACTACTAGTAGCAAGAAGCTACTAATAACAAGGGCATCGCTACGAACGGAGCAAGAAGCTAGTTACTGTAGTAGCTCCTGGATGCTCCTGGAGTTCGTTCGGTTCACCGGTCGGCAGCTACCCAATGTGACTCATGACCGCTGCAGGCGGCGGTTTGGCGTCCAAGCTGCTGCTGAGCGTCCACGAGGGGCGGCAGCTCAAGCTGGGTGGCACGAGCTTCGCCGTGGGCGTCTCTGCGCTGAGCCGGAACCGCCAATGGGAAGAGGCGACGCGGTGGGGTGAGGAGGATGGGGGCGGTGAGGGTGTATGTGTTCCATGCTTCACATGTTTTACGACATGGTGGTGCAGCAATTTGAGGGTCAAGGTATATGTCTCGAAGCCCCTTAGCTCTTTCAGCTGCAGGGGGGGTCAGTGCTGACTTTAGCCCTACAACTGCTGCGAGGTGATCTTTTCCAGGACCTGCCAAAGCTCGACTCCATAGAACCTGTCTTTTCCGATTGCCCATCACCTTGGATCTTGCCTTTGGATCGTTTCAGATTTGACTTGCCTTCGATTTGTCTAGGTATCCTGATTGGTTTGTTTTTGGGGCCCGTCATTGATTCCCTTGTGCTGTTGCGCCATTTGTTGAGTGGCTATCTCCGTAGGCAAGTGCTCAGCTTGTTTCGGCCTAGCTCCTTGTATCGAGTCGTTTGATATCCACAGCCCCGTCTCGAGCTGCTCAATTTCGGCTTGAGGAACAGTGACAGTTGAGGCAGTGTCTGGATCGTATCTAAGAGTCGGAAAGGCGTGTGTCAGAGTTTTGCTGCAGATTGGATCTTGGATTAAGGCTTGCCTCGAAGGTCGCCGTTGTGGCCTGTCAGGCCGGGTGCTGGATCCAGTTGGAGTGTTCGGGGATTTTCGTGCCTTGGTTCCTGAAGTGAAACCTTACGGCCACCCTGGAGATTCCATCTTCGTCGGATTGCCCAGTTTGGACGACGCCAGAGTTGTTGCTGCCGCTGCCGGAGTGCAGTGGCCTCAGTAAGCAGAAGCAATGGCTGAGGGCGGTGACGAGATTGCTGAATCGCCTGATCCGCAGCCTTCGCCAACCAATTCGTTTGTTGTTCGCAAAGACGGCTCAGCTGATTTGAATTATCCAGTTGGTACGTTTCTTTCAGTTTCAGGAGGACCTTGTGTCCCTATCATTCTCATTTCATCCATTCCTGACCAGCTTTTAGTCTCGGTGCCCCTTGAAGCTTGGCATCGACTGAAGGCCAATCGCCGTTTGCCAGGAGACGCTTTGTCAAAGGCCGTCTCAGTTGAAGTTCCTGCAGTTCGAGACTTAGACCGAGAAGTGATTGAGTTTGAGCAAAAGATTAAAGTTTGGGTAGGATATCTCAAGAAATCTTTGGAGTCATGCCTGAATTTCGAGCCCGACTATGCAGTAGCCTTAGCTTGCCAATTTATGACAGAAGATGGAGGAGAAGGTTTCGTGCCCTTTGCCGAAAGCCTTGTGACCCTCGCCGACGAGAAGTTTTCATTTTTGTCAGCAATGTCGGGCGCCGAAGGGGATGGGGAAAAGCCATCCGATCCAAGTTCCAAAGCAAAGAAAGCCTCCGATCCTGCTTTAGATCGCATTGCTCGTCTCGAAGAAGGCATGGTAGCAATTCAGACCAGTTTGCAGGAGTTGCTTTCCCAGAGGAACACCGTAGCAGCGGCGCCGCCTGTGATGACACCGAAGCCCAAAGAGAAAGCCAAAAGGCCCGAAGAAGATGGTTTGGAAGCTCTAGACCCTCAGGTTGTTCAGTCGGCTCTGATTTCTGGGATCGACAGAAAGCAGCTGGAGGAGTTCAACAGGTTGGTTGCAGCTCACAAGCCAAAGTTGACCGACACGCCCGCTCAGCGGAAAGGAGCCCGAGGACCAGTCAATATACTTGGAGAAAGCGAAGACGAAGCTGTCCCAGAAATAGACGAGGAAGCACTGGCAGCAGATCCAGGAGCCGCCTTTCAGACAGCCATTGTGAAGTTGACTTCTATCGTCCAGAATTTGAGTTCGAAAAAGAAAGGCCGAAGCATCGAAGACCTTTTAGACGATTCGTTGGCAGTCGGGGAAGCGTCATCATCCAGCAGTTCTATCAGTTCGAATCGGCGCCACTCCTATCTGTTGAAAGTCTTGAGGCAGTCGTTGAAGGAGGCCCCGGAGGAGATTTACAAAGTGATAGAAGGTCGAATGTTGGCAGATTTTGGTGCTCAAGAAAGTGCTCCCGGCGAACCAGTTCGTTCAGGTACCTTCAGAGGATGGGCGGAACACCGTTCGAAAATTCCAAATCTGAATCCTTCTGTTCGTGCAGTTTGGGCTGTGACAGGAGCACTAGATGCGTTGAAGAGAGGCCGTGTATCGGAAGCAAAAGCCAGGCTGGCACTTTATTTGTGCCAGCTCGACCAGGTTTCAGTGGATCGTGGACAATGGATTCTGGCAGCGGAAGGGAGTTTGGAAGATCCACCCCCTTTCTCCTCCTTTTCAAAGCACACTCCTCCCGATCTCCTAGAACCTCAGCACACTCGTCTATGGCCAACAGCTTGGGCAGAAAGTTTCATGTACAAGGTCAAAGAGCTGGACGAGTTCGTCGAGAGAAGGTCCAAGCTAGGCAAGAGATCTCAAGCTGCCCAACATGCAGCTCCGGCAGCCGAGGAGTCTCCGAAGAAGGGCAGTGGCAAGAAAGGAAACCCGAAGTCAAAAGCAAAGGCTTCGCCAGAGGAGCCATCTCAGACTCAATTATGAAAGATCCTCAACTGGGCCACGCGCAGCCCAGCAACAAGTTGCATGAAGAAAATCCTCAAAAAGCAAATAAAAATGTCAATGAACATTCAAAAACTTCCAAGAGTTCAAAGCCTTTGCCTGCCGAGTTCAAAGTGACCAGCTGGTGGAATTCGTGTTTTCGTTTGGTTTTGCAGGTTGGTGGTAGTTTAGCCAGCTTTGCCAGATCTTTCTTCCGCAAACCAGTTATGCCTTTCGAAGAAAAGGCTACCGCCGTCATGTGGCCCATGCCGTTGCCGTATCCTGCAGTGATGAAACGATCAGCAGTGGATCCTATTTGCTCAAATGATGTATCCTTTCAATGTGGAGTGAATTTAGCAGTTTTGATGTTGAATTGGCTTCATTTAAAGAGGCCTTCGACTTGTCCTGCCGAAATCACCCTATATGCACCTTTGAGCAGATTGCAATGGCGTGTGGTTCGCCAAGTTGAATTAACCATGAATGCATGGCGTGATGCAGAGCCCGTTACAGCATTCAACATGGGCAGAGCTGCGGCTAAGGTAGAGAACATCGAGCGGGCACTTGAGAGACTGTGTACCTTCGAGTCCGGCCTTTTTGAGTTGTTTGATGAGGCTTTGCCTGATAGCAGCAGTTCTCTCTCTCGATCTGCGTCCAGAAAGTTTTTTGCCCCTGGGCTTCAAGCAGATGGTGGAGGCGACATTGTAGGTCAGTCTTCATCTTGTGGTGGATCGGTTGCCAAACCTATCATAGCCGACCGCCTTGATTTCCGAGGAGTTCCGAAGTTTGATCCAAAACCTTTTCTTGACAAGCAAGGCCGCTTTATTTTTGATGATCCTTTGTCGGCAGCTTTAAAGCCTGAAGATGCAGTGGAAGATCCTCCTCAAGTGAAGCTTTTTGGAGATGCCTGTGAGCTATGGAAACTGTTTCAGAAATTGGATGCCACGGGGCGTCTGGGGGCTATCCCAGACACAAAAGTCCTCCCGGGATTCCAAGCTGGACTTTTTGCAGTTGGCAAAGACGAATCGAAAGACCGCCTGATATTCGATTCTCGCCCCTTCAACACCCTTGAGAGTCCTCCAAATCGTTGGATCAAATCAATGGCTGCAGCTTCCAGTTTGGTCGAAGTACACCTTGAACCTGGTGAAGTTTGTGTCGTTTCAGGCACAGATTTGAGGGAATTCTACTATAGCTTTGAAGTTGGAAATTCTCGCTTGATCAGAAACAGTTTGCTTTTTCTGACCACTGCCAAAGAAATTTGGGATTGGAACTGCTGCACTGAAGAAATTCGACAGCACCCTGGCAAGATTTGGCTGGGACTTCGAACGCTCGCTATGGGCGACACTTGTGCAGTAGAACTGGCCCAGACAGCACATGTTGGCATTTTAAGGCAGATGGGTTTGATTCGCGAAAATAACCTTTTGACTATGTCAATGTCTGTTCCCAGGGTCCCTTCATTTATAGGCATAGTCATTGACGACCTCATCGCTTTTGAAAAGATCGCTAGAGCTGCTCTTTCGACTTCAGAAATGACGAAAAGTGAGGAAACAGTTCGTTCTGCAGTTGGGCGGTTCGCCGATTTGGGTCTTATCCCACATGATGGTAAGACTTTTTACAATGACTTGCATGCTGAATTTTGGGGGGCCACCTTTGATGGTGACAGTGGGTATGTTCGAGCAGGGCTGAAAAGAATGATTCCCATCCTTTTTGCTACAGTCGGAATTCTCAAATTGGGCTTGTGCAGTATCAGTTTGCTTCAAGTTTTGGTGGGTTGTTGGACTTCAGCATTTCTTTTTCGACGAAGGATGCTCAGCATTTTTAATGTGGTGTATGAAGTTTTCCAACGAGCCAGCAAACAGTCTGATGTGATTAGGCTGTCTGAAGCTTTGAAAGAAGAGTTGATGCTGTGCGTCTCGCTGTGCCCGTTAGCTGCAACCTTTCTCAGGACCCGAACTTCCAGCCAAGTTTACGCTTCTGACGCTTCCAGTGTAGGTTGGGCTGTGATTTCGGCTGACATTCCAAACTGGCTGGCTTCAGAGGTCCATCGGCATGCTCTCCGTAAAAGAGTATGGACGAAGTTGCTCAGTCCGTCAAAGTCCTTGCTCAAAGAAAGAGGTGTTTTGGAGCCTTCTGAAGAGTTGCCTGCCGGAGAAGCTTTTGCCACTCATCCACTCTGGTCGCTGATAGCAGGAGGGTTTCAGTTTCAAACACTGAAGAGCAGACGAACAAAAGCTGGAAGGCACATTAATATTGATGAAATGATAGGCATGTTGGAAGCAGAGAAGTCAGCTGTTGAAACAGGTTTTCCAGTGAGATATTTCTCTTTAGCTGATTCACAAGTCAGTTTGGGAGCTTTGTTGAAGGGAAGATCGAGTTCAATTGGTTTGAACGCATTGCTGCAGGAAAGCTTGGCGGTCCATTTGTCAACTTCTGTAGTCCCGAGTTTTGGTTTTCTGCCCTCAAAGGAGAATCCAGCGGATGATCCAACACGTGGAGTTCCTCTTCGATCACCGGTTCATGAATTGCCTGAATGGATGAAGAAACAAAGTTCATTTTCTCCTCATGAAGCGGTTGCTGAATTGGATAAGTGGTTGGATGCTAGGAACAGTTCGCCTTGGCACTTGTCAGGACTTCCAGATTTAAGTGAACTTGATGGAGATTTTGTGGAAAGTCAGATGTGGAAACGAAGTTGCCGACAAGCAGAATTTTTGCACAAGAAAAGAATGTTGTCCGTCTCTCCAAAACCGAGTGTTGTAAAGAAAAGCTTTTGTAAACACTGTACAGTTTTGCCGGAAGAGGAAGTTGTAGCTGGTTCGTCTCGGTTCGATTTTTCAGCACACACTTTTTCCGTTGAAGCCAAAGATGCAAAAACCGATGTTCTTATCAGATCCTATCCAAGTGCGAGCAGCTTGAATCTTCTGAAGCTCTCTGTCGAAGCACAGAATTTCCTTCGATCGCTGCCTCGTGAACAGTTTGTTTTTCCTAAAAGTTGGAATGTTGATAAAGATTGGGTTCCTGATTTTCCTGGTTACCTTGATCTCTATTCTGGAAAGAAAGGAATCGCCTCAGCTGTAGTTCAGAGCGGAAAAGCTTGGGCTTTGACTTTTGAAATTGAGGAGAGTGAGGCCCAGGATCTCAGCTTGCCGTCGAACCGAACTTTGGTCCAAAAGCTCATTCAGCTATCTGCCGTGCACACCGTAGGAGCAGCTATTTTTTGCAGATCGTTTTCCCGAGCAGTTCGCCCTCCAGTAAGAACAAAGCAAGAACCTTTAGGCATTGCGTCTATGACCACAAACATGCAACATAAGGTTTCAGAAGGAAATGATCATGCAAGTTGGCTCGCCTCCATTATTTCGTTGTGCATAGCTAAAGGCATCCATTTTTGGGTAGAAAACCCAGATAGCTCTTTCTTGTGGTACTGTCCGGACTGGACTGCCCTAGGTGCAAATGATAAGACAAAGAGTTTTCGACTTGATTACTGCGTTTGTGGCTGTCCTTGGAGGAAGCGGACCCGTTTCTTCACCGATTTGCATTTGCGAGGCCAGTTTGTTTTCTGCAACCGTTCTCATAAGCATTTGCGTTTAGTAGGTTGGAGCCGAGTCCATCAAAAACCATGGACCAGAGTAGCGCAGGTTTATCCTCGTCGTTTAGTGCATTGGGTTGCAAGTGCCATTTTGATTGATGCTGGTTTGCTGCCTGGACGGAAGCATTTAAACATTTCTTCAATTTGTTTTCAAAACCATGGTCGGATTGGGGAAGCAAAGAAGCCTGGTCCAAGACGCGCAGTCCGATCGCGACGAGTTTTGCAAACACTTTTGGAGGCAGATATAGTGGAACCTGAGACCGCGTTGTTAGGTGAACGAATCTGGTTTACTTTTAAGAATTGGGCTTTGAAATCTTTGTCTGAGGCCGCTTTCAATGCCGTGGTGAGTTGTCCAGATACGCTTTGTCTTTTGATCGAGTGTTTTGGAATGTTTCTTTTTGAAGAAGGCCATAGCATTTATCTTCTTCGTCAGCTGATCACGTTTGTACAGAGATGGAAGCCTAATTTTCGAGGAAGCTTGAGAGGTGCGTGGCAGCTTGTGTCTAAGTGGGAGTTAATTCAACCTATAAGACATAGGACCCCCCTGCCTTTAGTAGTTTACCGAGCCATGGTGTCCGTTGCGCTGTCTTGGGGCTGGTATCGATGGTCAGCTGTGACCATGCTGGCATTTGAAGGAATCTGCAGGCCAGGTGAACCACTGACTGCGACTCGAGGAGATCTTCTTCTTCCCCGAGACTTGCTGTTGGAAGATGCTAGTGTGGTTTATTTACAAATCAGAAATCCAAAAGGGCGGCGTCGAGGCATTGGCGCCACACAACATTCGAAGATCTCCAATCTACGTTTGGTACTTTTTCTGGATAAAGTTTTTGGTCGTCTGGATAGGTCAGTGCCACTGTTTGGAGGTTCATTTGCTTCTTATAGGAAACGATGGGATCTGCTGCTATCTTTCTTGAAGATTCCTCAGAGATTGTCTTTGACTCCCGCTTCACTTAGAGCTGGCGGAGCTGTACGAGCCTACAGAGCAAATGAAGAGATTGCTCGTTTGATGTGGAGAATGCGGCTTCGTAACATTGACACTTTACAACATTATCTTCAAGAAACTGGGGCCGCCAGTATTTTTGCTGAATTGCCTCCGGAAAGCAGACATATAGTTCATCTCGCAGCGTTGATGTTTGACGTGCTCCTGGATACTTTCGGGTCTTGACTTCTAAGCAGGGCTTCGAGCCATACGTTGATAACTCGGATCAGCGTTTGTTCACTGCTCCAGGTTTCTCTCCAGAGGTGGAAGTGCTGCTTCTAACTGGCTTGTGGCACTACGACATCGCCATCG